TGCAGCCCTGTGGGTGTCAGCTGTGCCCCAGGCTGGTGGGGCCCTGGGGATGTGGCTCTTGGCCCCACCAGTGGAAGTGGAGCTGTCACAGGGGTTCAGGTTAACTTGGATTCCCCAGAGCCCTCCAGGTGGTCTCAAGGCTCATCTCCAGGCAGGGCTGGACCTGGGAGCAGCCCGGTTCTGGGACAGGGATGGGGACAGGCTGAGCACATCAGTGCCCACCACTGCCTGGCACAGCCCACCCCCTCCTGCCCTGGTCCCTGGGCTGTCCCAGCCCATTTCAGCCCCATGCTGGGAGGGGAGGGGGGTCCCTACCAGCCTATCAGCTTAACTGTGGTGTTTGTGACAAGTGCCCTCAACTGACCCTGCTGGTTACTTTTAACCCTCTCTTTGCTGCCAGCCGGAGCACGAAACAACCCCCAGGCACAAGCAGGAGGTATTCTCTCTCTGGAGTATCTTAGTCCTCATTGGTGCATCATATTGTCCATCCTTCCCAAAACAAGTCCGTCTGTCCCCCTATTTACTGGAATACAAGATGCATCGGGCCGGGGGTTGGGTGCTGGAGGAGCCCGAGGAACAGACAGCTGGGCATCAGCTGTGGCATCTTCTATCCCACTAAGTAAGGTGGTCCTGATCGTGCCTGTGAGCAAGAGCCCTCCCAAGGGCAGGAGAGGCCCTGGCCCGTTGGGATGACTTGGCTTCTGCTCGTGTTCCTGACCCCGCCATGTCCTCACCTTGTGTCTCCTCTCCTGTGGAGCTGGTCCCATCCTCCTGCTGGCACCCGACCCACGCTCTGCTCCTGCCTGACCCAAAGTGCCTCATCCCCCCTGCCCAGCCCTCCTGCAGCCCCCGGGGGAGCTGGGCTGGGGCTCCCCAAGCACTGTGGCTGCCATCCCACCCCACAGGGGCCAAGAGGCTCTGAGCTGCCTGGGGGGGCCAGCACTCACACCGGCCCTGTGCCTGCCCACCCTGAGGGGGGCTGAGCACAGAGGGAGGCTGAACCCTCCCTGCACAAATTGTGCCTGTGATGGCCCCATCAGGAACGATTCATCCTGGCCTCAAATCCAGGGGTGCTCCCCAGGGTTCGCCTCCGTAAGCAGAGATCCCAGCTGGAGCTGCCAATGGGAGCAAGCACTGCCAGGGGATGGGGTTGGCCACGCTGGCAGCAT